ACAACTTCATGCTACACGTAGATCAAAGACCTTTTTGCACAAAGCCAGGTGCCGACGTGACCCCAGCCTCTTCCATGATACATCCTGAACGTCTGGGAGACCCTCACTCAGATGTGCACCAGCAGCACAATAATGCTTTATTTACAGGGGAAAAAAACTTTTAAAATGATGCCATGGAGTCAGTTCTGAATCACAGTGCCCCCTGTGTGCCACCAGGTTTTCTACGGCTGATTTTTTCACAAGTAGAACACTACGGCTTCCTACCTGGGTGACTCTGGGTGGTCTTGAACGTCCAGCCTTTTTGGTGAGCACCAGTATGCACCAACAGGCACTCCAGATTTATTTCCAGAGATTTTAAAAATAAATGGACATCGTACGTACTTTTATGGCTGGTGGGTAATCCTTAAAAATCTCCACCAGTCTCATGATGCTGAACGACAGGTAGCCCGACGCGGTGAAGAGCAGTGGGGATGTGATGCTGGTTATTGCGAGCAGCACCTCCACCTAGTGGACACAGACAGAACTGCAGTAGAGCAAGGGCCAGGGGCCATCCAGTCACCCCACTGGGAGTTCAGGGGTCGCTGGAGGCTGCAGGTGTGTGTCAGTGGGTTCCTGCGATTGATGTACACTTCCTTCCTCCGATTATAGATCGAGGCCCCGGTCAGTCGCAGAAGCTGAGACCACAGAGCTCTGCCGACACCGGCCAAGTGTCCAGGCACTGGTGGTCTGAGTACCCAACTGGACCACATGCATCACAGTCACCGTCCAGCAGTGGCTAACCTTTAAAGGCTTGGACTTTCATGGGCTCTCCTCCCTCATGTGCTCACTCACGGGGCTCTCGGTTCTGCATGCTCTCGCCAGCAAGGCAGGCAGGACTGGGGCAGATCTCCCAAATTCCCCTCTGAGATTCCCTCACCCCACCTGGCTGTGGAAGCCCTGGCCTGTGCTGGCCTCCCCTGCCCAACCCAAAGCATGCTCACCAGGCACTTGCTGGGACACTCAGCTGTCACATGACTGACAATAGCACTTGGGAAACACTGAAAGGAAAGAAAGGGTCAGAGGTGACATTCCAGAAGGCAAACCCCCTGGAAAGAAGTTCAGCATCACACATGAAGACAAGGCCCCTCCACCCTCATCTCCACTTCCAGGATCCCCAACTTGTCCCCATCGCCAGTGGGGTAGCTTCCACACTCCTCTCTGGGGGCGGTGAAGATAATGACCTTCTCCGTATAGCTTATGAACAAGATCCATTCCTACACATGTCTTTATGTCAACTGTATAGGTGAGCCTGAATAGGTGTGCACGATGCTTATGTAGCCTTACTTTAGTCCACCAGGGGTCCTAGTGGTGCTGTAGGACAAGCACTGGACTGCTAACCACAGGTCAGTAGTTAAAGATGAGGTTTTCTGCTCTGGTAATGATTTATGAGCTCGGAAGCCTGACTTATGGTTGCTAAGACTCGGAATCAGCAAGATGGCAGTGAGTGGATTTGGTTAAATGCAAGAAGGAGCCCTGCCCTGGTGACTCACTGTATTAGTGTGTAGGGCTGCAAACTGCAAAGTCAGCAGTTCAAAACCATCAGTCATTTCTTGGAAGAGAGATGAAGCTGTCTGCTCCCGTAAAGATATGCAGCCTCGGAAACCCTATAGAATCGATTCATTGGCAGAGGTTTGGGTTTGGGTTGGGTTTCAGTGTAAGAGAAGGCTTAGACTGTTCAGTGATTAAAACCCAGCGTATTCAGCAAGTTGAGGTGATTGTGATGAAGAATTTGTAGCCAGAAGGGATTGGTTCCATCATTCCAAAGTGAGGAAAGGGCAAATATGAGTTCTCTGTAAGTTGTTGTTGGTGGTCGGTACTGTGAAGTAGGTTCTGACTCCTAACGGAACGAAACACTGCGCGGTCCTGCACTGTCCTCACGATTGCTGTTACGCCTCAGCCCATTGCTGCTACCACTGGGCTAATCTATCTTGTTGGAGGTCTCCCTCTTTTTCTCTGGCCCTCCACTTTACCAAGCATGAGGGACTGGTCTCTCCTGATAATATGTTTGAAGTATGAGAGACAAAGTCTGGCCATCCTGGCTTCTAAGAAGCGTTCTGGCTATAAGTTGGACGTTCTTAACTCAGGGACTTCGGGTACTTAGGGTATGACTATGGTATGGTCTGAGAAGCATGTTCTCATTCCACAGCTGTACACGGTGGACAGCAAGATGGAGACATGGTGAACGTGAGAGTGAGCGAGTTGGATAGCTGAAGCACCTCGAGCGATGACCAGCAGGGCAGCTGCAACTTCTCACCATGGTAGCCATGACGTAAGGGCACGTTTGCTCATACCTTCTTGTGCCAGCATACCTTTGTCTCACAGTGCTGCTGTAACAGACATGCCACAAGACGTGGTTTTAAAGGACCCACACTTATCTTCCCACAGTTTGGAAGGCTGGGAGCCGGAATTCAGGGCTCTCAGGGGACATCCCTCTTTATCTAGTCCAGGTTCTAGTAGCTGCCAGCAATCCGTGAGGTTCCTGGACTTGTAGATACGTCTGTCTCCTGGTCTGTCCCCACATGTGTGTCTCTCTGTGTCAACTCAGAAGGGGTTAGGTGTATGACCCACAGTGCAGTGGTCTGACCTCATCAACATAACAAATGGACTGACTCATGTCCCCAGAATATGTGTCGACTTGGCTGAGTCATGATGCTCACTGGTTTGGCAGTTATGGAAAGATGAGATTTGGCAGTTTTGGAATGATGTAATCATTGCCATGATGTGATCCAATGTGATCGTCGCTGATCTGATATAAGGGGTTTAGGGTGGAATACAACACCCTTAATTTCATCACAGCCCTAAACTGATGTAAGGGGTGTTTTCCCTGGGGTGTGGCCTGCAACATCTTTAATCATACAAGAGGTAAGGAGAGAGAAGCAGTCACCGACAGACAGGAAAGACCTGGGCAGAGCATGTCTGCTACAGCCTCCTAGACTCAGGGGAAGATTGATGTCAAGACACATGGAGATCTCTAAGGCATGACATGGCCACAGACGTTGAGTGGCGACAAGGCCCTTCCCCCAGAGCTGACAACGAGAGCTGGTGCCTTACACTTGGATTTCTAACCTTGTCAGGAAGGACAGGTCTCTGGAAAAGGATGTCATGTTTAGTGAGGTGGAGGATCAGAGAAAAAGAGGAAGACCCTCAGCGAGATGGATTGGCCAAGTGGCAGCATCAATGGGCTCAAGCGTCCAACAGTAGTGAGGTTGGCCCAGGACCAGGCAGTGTTTCGTTCTGCTGTGCATAGGGTCTCTATGAGTCGGTACCGACTCGATGGCACCTAACAACAACAACAACTGGTGAGAAGATACATTTGTGTTGCAAAAGCTTCCACTTGCAGCATTTCTGTTACCGCAGCACTGGACGACGACAGCTCGATTTCCAAACAGGGTCCTACTCTCAGGTATAGAGGTTCATACTTCAATGGATCCCTAATGAAGAGTGTGAGAGTTCCTGTGGGGTACATATGAGGAGCTGAACCACTGGGAACAGGCCATGAGCTGGACCCGACTCCTAACAAGGCAGTAGAGCCATTCCAAGCTGCTCCCTAGGGCTCCACAGGCACACTGCCTCATCCTCCTTCTGTACGGCTGACACCTGGATTAGCGCTTGAGCTGCAGCCATGGCACCACCGGCGGTCTTTTCTGTTTTCCTGTTGTTGTTGTTGTTGTTGTTGTTAAGTGTTGTGGAGTCAGCTCCGACTCGTAGCAACACTGTCACTATATAGGGTTTCCGAGGCACAGCTGGTGGACTTGAACTGACGACCTTGTGGTTCGCAGTCCAGTGGTAATCCTACATGCTGTTGTTGTTACTGTTAGGTGCCAACGAGTCAGTATAGACTCATAGCGACTTTATGCACAACATCACAATTGTTACTGCACTTGAGCCCATTGCTGCTGCCAATGTGCCAATCCATCTTGTTGGGAGCCTTCCTCTTTTTCTTTACCAAGCATGATCTCTTCTCCGGGGACTAGTACCTCCTGATAATATGGCCCAAGTATCAAAGACAAAGTCGAGGCATCCTGCCTTCTAAGAAACATTCTGGCTCTTATTCTTCCAACATAGATTTATTTGTTCTTTTGGCAATCTGTTGTTGTTGTTAGGTGCCATCAAGTCGGTACCGACTCATAGGGACATTATGCACAGCAGAACGAAACACTGCCTGATCCTGGGCCAACCTCACTACTATTGCCACACTTGAGTCCATCGATGCTGCCACCTGGCCAATCCCTCTCATTGGGGGTCTTCCTCTTTTTCTCTGACCCTGCACCTTACCAAACATGATGTCCTTCTCCAGCGACTGGTCCCTCCTGACAATATATCTGAAGTATGAGAGACGAAGTTTGGCCATCTTTGCCTCCAAGGAACACTCTGGCTTCACTTCTTCCAAAACGGAGCAAGGTTGTATCACCTGTATATTGTAGATTGTTAATGAGTCTTCCTCCAATCCTGATGCCACATTCGTCTTCATATAAGCCAGCTTCTTGAATTATTTGCTGAACCACAAGGTCGGCAGTTCAAACTCACTGGCTGCTCCTCAGAAACGCTATACAGGGTCGCTATGAGTTGGAACTGACTCGACGGTACTTAACAACAACTGATTTAATAACTTTGGGGAAAGAATACAATCCTGGTACACATCTTTCCTAATTTTAAACCATTCAATGTGTCCTTGTTCTATTGAACAACTGCCTCTTGATCTATGTACAGATTTTTCCTGAGCACAATTAATTCCGGAATACTCATACTCTGAAATGTTGTCCATAGCTTGTCATGATCCACACAATCGAAAGCCTTTGCGTGGACAATAAAGCACAGGTAAACATCTTTCTGCTATTCTCTGCTTTCAGCCAAGATCCATCTGATGTCAGCAATGATAGCCTTCATTCCACGTTCTTTTCTGAATCCAGCTTAAACCTCTGGCAGCTTCCTGTCAATGTACTTCTGTATCCATTTTTTAATTATCTTGAGCAAAATTTTACTTGCACATGATATTAATGATACTTCCACATTCTTCTGGAATGGGCACAAATATGGAGCTGTCTCCCAACTTTCATGGTATAGATGAGTGGGTGCCTTCAGAGCCTCATCAGTTTATTAAAAGATTTCTATTTATGTTCCGTCAATTCCTGGAGCCTTGTTCTTTGCCAGCGCTTTCAGTACTCCTAGGATTTTTTCCTTTAGTATCATTGGCTTGATCGTATTCTACCTTCTGAAATGGATGAACATCGACCATTTCTTTTTGGTACAGTGAATCTGTGTATTCCTTCCATCTACTTTGGGCACTTTCTTCAGCACTCAATATTTTGCCCATAGACTCCTTCAGTACTGCAAAGTGGAGGCTTGAGTTTTATCTTCATTTCTCTCAACTTGACAGATACTGAGTGTGTCCTTCTCTTTCAGTCTTTAACTCCAGATCTTTGCATATTTCATTATAACACTTGACTTTGTCTTCTAAAGCTGCCCTTTGAAATGTTCTATTCACCTCTTTTGCCACCTCATTTTTTCTATTTGCTTTAGCATCTCTACACTAGAGAGCAAGCTTCAAAATCTTTCCCGACACCCATTTTGGTCTTTTCCTTCTTTCTTGTCTTCTTAATGACCTTTAGCTTTCTTCTTGTATGATGTTCTTGATGTCATCCCACAACTCTCATGGGCTTCAGTCTTCAGGGTCTGATTCGTCAAATCTGTTCTTGAGATGATCTCTAAATTCAGGTGAGTATATTCAAGGTCATATTTTGGCTCTCATGGACTTGTTTCAATTTTCTTAATCTTCAAACTAAACTTGCATATAAGCAATTGATGGTCTGTTCCACAGACTGTCCCTGGCCTTGTTTTGGCTAATGATAGGGGGCTTTTCCACCCTTCTTTCTACAGACATAGTCAATTTGATATCTGTGTAGTCCGTCTGGTGAAGTCCATGTGTACAGTTGTCATTTATGTTGTTTTAAAAAGGTATTTGCCAGAGATCTGCAACTTAGACATTGGCTACCCAAAA